GAAGAAGATGAGGAGGAGATCAGAATCGCCGTACACAACGAAGAAATCGCAGGAATCGCCACACACACACACCGACATGAGGAAGGGGGACAAAGAGAGAGCCAGGGAATGCGGTAACGGGCTGGCCCGGAAACAAAGTGTGCCCGATAACGCACAGAAAAGAAAATCTCCACGAAAAGGATAGCTCCAGTGCGGATCTCGGCATGAGATCCAACGGCCAAAATATGAATGAAGACTAACTGTAAATCATTCGACTGAAAATTAGCAAAACCGAAAATAGCCTAAAATTACACTAAGAATTGCACTGTAATTTCACTTGTAACATAAAGTAAAAACTCTAAAATTCACTGTGATCACACTTGTAAGAAAATAGTAAAAACTAAGATTTACAGAGTAAATTCAGTGATACGAAAGGACACTCTGGAGCAAACACACATTTACACAAAGTTCACTACAAACAACCAACTCATACGCCCTGGAACAATAGAGAAAATTCCACTACTAGCACCACTAAAATATACAAAAAGAATCATGAGTACTGCATGGAATTAGAACTAAAACGCCAAACTAAGGTTATATCTTACTACACTATATATTCACTCGATTACATTAAAAAATTGTAGAGAGATTACTTTGAAATTACAACAAAATATTACAGCTAAAGAAGTAATTACAGCAAGAATACTCTGTAATTACATCAAAGATTACACTAGCAATGAAATCCCCTATAGCAGATGAATCCCCTAATATTTTTGCCCTAATACAAACGGCCATATATAGTAGATGAATCCCCTATAGCACATTACTCACTCCTGAAGCCTAATCCAAGCGCACGAACAGGACATATCACATACAACTAAAGGCCGCAGGAGCTATCACATTCAACTACCTAAAACAACAGATTGGAGCGCCCTAACGATACACACATCAACAACAACAACCTAAACAAAAATCGATCTGAACTCAAACGATCTGAGGAGCAAGCCAACACATCGAAAATCCAGAAAGGAAAGAAGGGGAGGGGGAGATTGGGAGGGGCTGAGCGCGAGGGGAGCGGGAGGTACACCACACCTCAAGGCGGGAGATGCAGCAGACCTCAGCAGGCAGATGCGGCGGCGAGGGGATCTACAACACCGCCATGACACTATCTCCCTCTATCGGTTGCGTTGCGTGCTAGGAATGAGAAAGGGGGAGGGGAAAGGCGAATTTGAGGATTTGCCCCGCCTTTGCTTACACTTCTAGGATTTGCCCTTGTTTACATTAGTATTGATCTTTTGCCACACCTTTGACAGAAACTTGATGATTTGCCCTTGGCAAGATGGGCCCACTGTAAAATGTCCAAACTGCCCCTGTCCTGCTCAGTCCACCCCAACCGAGCGCATCTCTGAGCGGGAAGACCTGACGCGGAGATGGAACTCCCGCCGCCGCTGTTGCTCCGGCGGAGCTGGCCGTGGCTCTGCCCCCGCCGGCCTTGTTGCTCATCTGGTGCAGAAAATCTGGGCCTCTCCAAGCACGACGCTCGAGGCGGGTGCGGATAAGGCGACGGCGAGGTAGCACGCGGTGGCCGGCCGGGCTCGACCTACAGCCACCGGTCTGCTGATGGAGCACCTGCTTGGGGAGAGGAGCAAAAGCCGGACGGACGGAGACGCCTTGAGGCGGAAGGCCAGCGGATGTGTGCCTGGGCGTGCTTGTGTGCGTGAGTGCTCTGTGTGTGTTGTGTTTGTGTGCGTGCGTGCGTGCTCTAGCAGCTGGGCGTGAGTGCGTGTTTTGTGCTTGTGTTGTGTGCGTGCTCGCGCTCTAGCACCTGGGCGCCCGGCTGTTGCTGCTGCTACTGCTGCATGCACAGAGTCGGAGAAGGACGCCGCTCCTCTCGCCGAGCTCGCCATGGACAGCCACCACCGTCCCCGGGCATGGAGCCATGGACCTTTCGTGGGGAGCTCGCAAGAGATGCTCGGGGAGGCCGGCGTGGCCGCGGAAGTCACGCGCCCGTGGAGATGCACACACGTCTGTTGGCGATCGTGGCGGACAGCACGGTCCGCGCCGTCATGGTCTCATGGGTAACTGGTTCAGGAAGTGCAGCTCCTTCCTCCGAGAGCTCGCGCACGTGTTGTTGTAGAGGAGGGAGGAGGACGTGGGGAGAGGAGGAGCAGCATCAGCTCGTAGACTGCACTGTAGCATGTGGGGAGGAGCAGCAGTGGGTTGCCATCGGAGTGTGGGAAGAGGAGGAGGAGCAGCACAGCACGGCAGCAAGTGGGCTGCGGGACGAACACATAAGAAAAAAGGGCATTTGGGTCATCCAATTTGTAGTGTAATCTCAAACGGGATAGAAAGGGCAAATCATCAAAGTTTTAGCAAATGTGTGGCAAATAATCAATTACAAGGAAAAAGAGGGCAAATCCTAGAAGTGCAAGCAAAGGCGGGGCAAATCCTCAAATTGAGGGGAAAAGGGAGACAAAAAGAAAAATAAAGAGGACCGACGGTTCGGCCAGCGAGGGAATAGAAACGGGTCTCCCTCGAAATTAGCGCCCCGATAAGACAACGCAGAGAACTGAAGCGAGGAAAAAACAAATTAGCATGAATCCCAGAACAGAGATCGGGCGGCTAGAAAAACGAATGAAGCTGAATTGTTTTCATCCAGCTGAAAAATAGCAATTCCGTTTTTCTAACATCAGTATAGACACAAGCATTTATATACACACGTATACACTCACCCCTATGAACGCACACACATACACCTTATCCAATGAGCACCTTCGAAAGACTAAACTGGCATATCATCTTGAGATTTACGAAGTCACCGTAGGCGCCTTGTCGTCGACGGGAACGTCTCCTCCCACTGAATGTGCATCGCCAGAAATCCTGAAATAAATGCGAGCACTAGGATTTGAACCCTGCTGGGCTGAGGATACCACTGTCTCTTTAACCATCCAACCATAGATTGGTTCGCGTGAACTCGATCAATCCGTAGGTGCGCGACTGCGGTAGTGCGGTGCATGGCCAAATCATAATTTGCGTTATCGTCGGCCGGTTCGACCACTCGGTGCGGTGCAGTACTATGTTAGGGCACCTGCAAAACATTGGTATATGTCCAACCGAGCACATTTGTTCATTTTTACAATTCAGTGGGACCTGTATCGGTTTGCAATACTGTCCGGAGTCAAATTCTCGTATTTTGGAGAAAAGCATAAGAGTTTTGTCGGAGTGCGGACATGCACTTGACCAATCACATGCATGTCCCTCTCTTCTCTCTCCTCCCAACTGCACATGCGTGATCCCCCTCTTCTTTCTCCTTCCAACCGGACACTAAACCACAAATATCCTACCACATGCATGGTCACCACCGTGAGGGTTGCCGCCGCCTCCCATGGCGGGCACATCGCGCCATGTTTGCATTGCCCGACGTCCATGCCGTGTTCACCTTCGGTTCGGTGCACCAACGAAGGGGTTGCACGTCCGCCACTGTGTTTGGACACCAGACGGACTGCACCGCCTCTGGTGAAGCAGCGCTACCACACCTCGCGGCAGATCCATGCGCCATTTGGACAGACGCAATGAATTCCCGACGAAAGGAGTATGTGCACTGTAGTCGGGTGGCCCCTCCCGGGAGTGGCGGAGCGCAAACCAGACGGTCATCTCCTCCTCAGGGTCGCGTGGGATGAGCTCACAGTTGACGGATTTGGAGGTGTAGGACTCGGATCTGCTGTCCGTCATGCCGGGAGATCGCCAGACAGGAGCTTGGGGGTGAAGTGGAGTAGAGTGGAGGGGTAGGGAGTGGAGTCGCTAGGGTTTGGTCCAGGGAGCAGATGTGGATGATTATATATGGGGTCGGGTGGGCCAGTGTGGACCGGTTCAGACGTGGCGGACGCGCCTGGTCACGCCCGGGCCTCCCCATTTTTATCTCATATTTGGGCTGGATAAGAGGGGTACCGGTCATCCCAGGTGTTTGAAGCCGGTTTGAGCTGCCGTCTGGATCGGAGTTTTATGCCGGTCACTGACTGGGTCATCCGCCCGGGCGTATGATGGGGGGTTTGGGGCGCCCAGCTGTAGATGCTCTAACACACCTGACTCGGTGGTTCTCGGAGCAGAATTTTCTTTTAGAATTTTAGCCGGTTCAATTGCAGAACCGCCTGTGCCGTTATTTGCATGGCTAGGCATTCATTTATGTTTTAGCAATCACTTGGACTAGTGTGGTTCTCCCTCGTTACCCTAAGTGACTGCCATGAGGAGTGAAAGGGGCTGGACAACCAACCGTATAATTCGAATTCACAGCAAATGATCCTAGGTAGACACCATTCTCATCCCGGCATACAGCTGCAATCACACCCCTATTACCGTTCCTGGCAACTGCCCATCCACATTAAGTTTATGAACTTTGGAATGTGTAGAAGATTTCAATGTGAAATATTTTGGCTGTAAATATTTCCGAACGTTGGAGAGGATACTTCTCATGGTGTCGAATTATGAACAATGAAATTTTAGAATCTTTGAATGGTGTAGATATTCCTATATGAAAATATACATAGCTTATTTCCTTTTTCTGAGAACAATCACTATTGTTCCAACACAATACTTAAGGTGTAAAGGTGACATTGCCAAATTAATCTAATCAATTTTCTTCTCTTTAAGGCTCTCAATACCATATCATCAAATGACCATCCATCACCATTTCCATTGCACGTGAATGAAGTGTTGTATTTTTTTCATTGACACATTGAATTTTTTGCAACATGGTGTTACACAAACCTCAAAAGTTAATTTGGATGTCTAGGATGGCATGGATGAATATCTTTGTATGATCAACATCTTAGAAACACAACATATGTCCCCACAAAAAGAAAACAACATATCATTCATCTTATGCAGTGCGAGAAAGTCAAGTTTTCTAGAATACTTATTTAATTATCACATAAATAATGACATAAATTCCATGGTTGATACATTTGAATTACTACATATTGAAAACATCTAAGGCAATCTTACTAGGATACATTTTTATGAATTCAAACCGGTGTTGGTACAATACAAAGAGGCACAACCTTCGTTAGTGATAGGCCAAACTTTTCTTCCATATCAATTCCATCCCTTTCAAGCTCAACAGGGAGACTCCATTTAAACTGGTTTAACAACGAAGCGAGGATCAAATGCACCGTTCTAATAGCCAATGGCATTCCAGGGCAGATCCGACGTCCAGCACCAAATGGAAGGAGCTCAAAATCAGCACCCCTAAAGTCAATTCTTGAACCCAAGAACCTCTCTGGCATAAACTTCTCAGGCTCAGACCATACATCTTTGTCTCGACCTATCGCCCATACGTTTATGAACACACGTGAATCTTTAGGTATTGTGTAACCTGCTATTTCCACTGTCCTCTCAGGTTTCCGTGGCAACAAGAGTGGACCGGGAGGATGAAGTCGAAAAGTCTCTTTTATGACAGCTTGGAGATAGGGCAACCGAACAATATCATCTTCTTCAATGTTTCTTTTGAAGCCAATAACTTCTGCAAGCTCGTTGCAAGCGCTGGACATTGATGATGGGTTTTGGAGCAGCTCTGTCATTGCCCATTCCACTGTGCTAGAGCTTGTGTCACTACCAGCAGAGAACAAATCCTATAACATGAAAATATAATGTCACATTTATAGTCTCGTAAATATAGCTATTTATATACACTAAACAATCACCACATAGAGTATAATTGATTATTTGCTATAGAAGAACTTAAATTTTCTTTGAACTACACACAGCGGTACTGTTTGGATGAACTATATACGAACAACTCGTTGATTTGCGACATAAGATTTGATAATCATTTCATTGCAGTATAGTAGAAGCCGCTGTTCCTGACCCAATTTCCCATTTTTTTCCCACGTTGGATGAAGTGCAGTGATACAGAGGGTTATGGTGGAATTGTTGGAAATGCGATAAAATATAACAAGGCTGGTTTTAAACAAAGGAAGAACATTGGAATTTAAGTTTTAGATGATTCAATTCTTGTAGAGGAAAATCCCACTGGTGCTCTTTGTAACACATGAGTAACCTGCCACGATTCCTGTAAAATTTTATGTTTGACTATTCTATTCGAATTTTAGCACATAAACATGAGTATCCAAATGTTACTTTTGATGTATCGTTGTTAATGGTTACTGTAGCATCACTAGAGTGGATATTAGTACATAACTAAGTGTGCCACAAAAATCCACATCAATATTTGATTAAGTGCGCAGGTGCATGGGTGTGAACAGTAAAATCATCTAATTTTTTTTGTCATTGAAGATATTCAAATGTGTGATGTGCGTGCAAAAAATCATGATGTTCGGACATTCGAGGAGGCTGTGGCAAAAAAAATCAATGTCAAAGAAAGTTTGGAAAAGTCCACTATTTGGGCCTAATTTTGTCTTTTTTTCCTAAGAGCTCCCCGAATATCTAAACACCACGAAAGTTAGCATGCTCCTTGCGCACTCGAGCATCTTTGATGCCAAAAAATATTCTGAACTTTTTCTAATTTTTCAATTTACTATTCATTGGATGTAAATGAGCCTGGGCTTTGACGTGAATTACCGAAACTTTTATATTTATTTCTTGATAAAAACCAAATTTGAATATGAATTTTGTGGGATTGTAAACATCTCGATGCCACCCGCAAAATAGAAACATATCTCGATGCCAGCATTTTAAAATATAAATCTAAATCGCCAAGGCTGGCCATGTGCATTGATCTCGGCTGGTTTGGCAAGGCTATGTCGTGGAATTTTGAAGTGCAGTATTATCTTTTGTCCTTGCAAACAGAAATTGTGGTTACCGTGAAAAGTGATCGTAGCGTCTGGCGGTCCAGCAGGTCCTTCCCATCCTCACGCGCCGCCACATCGAGCAGCACGTCGAGGAAGTCGTTCTTCCTCGGCTGGCCGGCGTCGCGGCCGCGCAGCCTCTGGTCCACCTCGGCGTCGAACACCACATGCAGCCGCGCGAGCAGCCGCGCCAGCCGCCGGTGCGTGCCCTGCAGGTCGGCCGGCGCGAGCAGCGGGAAGAAGTCCGATACGTTGGGGCTCCCCACGGCCTGCATGGTGGCCGTCACCACCTGCTGGAACTCCTCGGACCGGCTGCCGTCGTCGAGGCTCGTCAGGTCGGCGGAGAAGATGGTGCGGGAGAGGAGGTTCAGGCTCGTCGTGAAGGCCACGCGGCCGACGTTCACCGGCGCGCCCTCGCGTGCCAGCCGCGCGACATGGTCCACGAGTTCCCGCACCTTCTCGCTCCGGAGGTGGCGCAGCGCGTCGAGCCGGTGCGGGGCGAACAGCTCCGTGGCCATCATCTTGCGCAGCGCGCGCCACCGCGGCGCGGGGGGTAGCCAGGCCACGGAGCCCGCCGCGTGCTCGCCGGTGGCGTCGGGCACGGACCGGGCGGCGAACGCGGAGTCGTGCCGCTGCAGGAACTCCCGGGCCATGGCGGGGGAGGAGACGACCACCGTGGTGACCGCGCCGAGGCGCAGGGACATGAGCGGGCCGTGGGTCTTGGCCAGGCCGGCAAGGGAGCGGTGCGGCTTGTCACCGAGAAGGTGGAGGCTGCCGATGAGCGGCAGCGGGCGGGGGCCCGGCGGGAGGCCGGAACGCGCGCGAGAGAGGAGGTTGAGGAGGTAGACGGAGAGGAAAGAGACGACGAGCCATGCTAGCCACGGCACAAGCACTGCCACGGGCGCCATTGCTTTGCTTCCTTCAATTTGTGCAGTTCAGCGCACGACAGGAGTCTGGAATGAAACAGCTGATCACTCACACAACGCTATTTATAATACAGTAGAGATCTTTGGACATCACGCATGATGAAATATTGCACCTGCACATGATATGATATTACGGAGGGTTCGTGGAATTGTGCTGAAATTCGCCGCCAGCATAAAGTTGGCAGTTGGTGCATTCGACGCCGTCCGTGCCGAGTACAAGTGCAACTGCATGCATGCATGCCGCCGCTTAATTAGTTTGACTATTCGGGCGTCCACACGTACTACGTACCTAACGCCTGCTCAGGTGCAGGTGCAAGCCGCCGCTCCTGGGCTTGAATATGTGAGACGCTAGTCACGCAAAGTCTTTTCAGCCTTTTTCCTCGTTCTCTTTTCTGTTGGTATAATACACGTGAAAATTACACCCGCCTCTTTGAGGTTCCTGGACTAGAGCCGATTGGAATGCTTCAGAATTTCAGCCGGATGCTGCTTTTTTTGAAGGAAAACATCATTGTTGTATTACCCAACGATATCCAAAGGAAAAAAGCTTGCCTTCAGCTGATGGATCGCACGTAGGCGTCCGCCGCCTCGTCCATGTGACACGTGTCCTGTAGGGCTCAGCTAGCATGATTTATTATGCTTTTGCTACCGAGCCCTTGTTGCAGTTTTCCCACCGCAACAACTTGTATGTTGTAGGATCTGGATCTAGATCCTCGAGCGCAGTTGCCTTCCGCGTTCCTTCCAAGCTCCCATTCTTCCTCTAATTTGTGCAACACCATTTATGTTGCAAAAGTCTTTCCGCAACATCATCCATGTTGCAAAAAAGTAAAGACATAAAAAAACTGTAACACTTGAATGTTTCTGCAACATGAACTCTGTTGCAAAGAGGGTTCTGCAACACTGACTTTCTTGCAATAATGACGGCGGGGTTAACCGTTGGTTTGGACCAAATCTAAGGGCTGCTGAGTGGGCGGATCTTTTCAGATTATCCGTCGATGGACGCGTAGCACTGTTCAAAGGGATTTTTTTGCGGGTTATTCAAAGCGGTCGTTCCATCATCATGAGGCTCCACGAGCCAAACATGCCTACCTAATAAGTCTAAAGACAGAAAATCACAACCTTCAAAATCTATAGCTTGAGCATTCCTTTAGAGCATCCACAAATGCACTTAAATGTCCGCGGACGGGTCCGGACGACCCTTCATATTTGCCACCGGGCAGCCACACTAATCAGACGCAAACCCTCAAATCCATGCATGTGGATCATATAGCACAAAATTTATCATGATTCTACAGTTCAACAAAGCAACAAAAAAAATCATAGTTCAACAATCCGGACATGGCAAATGAAATTGAAGCTTGTGGATTACACCCAAGAAGTTGTTGGAGATCTCAATTAATAATCTCCATAAGAAGTTGTCATGGTGAAATCACGGCAGATGCTATGGGATGGCTAAAAGTGGAGGGCTGCATGTGGACGTCGGAGGCGAGGTCAGCGTGCGCAAGTGTGAGACACAATATGTACCCAAGTTCGAGGCCCTCTGCCGAAATTGGATGATATGCACAAGGGCTACAATGGTGCTCCTGGAGCTGTTTGGCGGAGGAGGAAGAAGGAGCTAGATCTCCATTCTTGCCTCTCATGTGTGTGTGTG